ATAAATGTGTTTCTTTTTTACCAGCAGGAAATATGTGATACATCAATATGATTGAATTCTATTTTCATATATTTGTTTGCGTGTATGCGTTATAGATTGTCTTTTTTAACCATGTTAAAACCAGACAGTATTATTTTCTAAACTGGAAATATTTGGGAAGTAAACAGGAAAATTCAAATTTCAAAATAGCCAGTAAAACAAGTGAGTCGGAGAAAACATTCAGTTCCATTTAATATTTCTTAATTTAGTTAACAAACCCATTGACCTGTTTTTGTACTAAGCTGCAGATCATCACGTTGGTTTGTGGTACAAAATATAGTACGGTGACAGAGGTCACTGATTGCAACTGCCCCCAAGCGTTCTTCATGGCCCTAAAAGCTTAACAAAGCTACTAATTAATTTGACTATAAAAAGGTTTCTGTAATGGGATGTAACTATGTGCCATATAAAGGTCTCACTATGACTTGATTTTTTTGGTTGTTTTTTTCCTTGGGCAGGGGGGAGCGAGGGAGTAATGGAGAGGGGAGATAGATTAAAGATGTTGATTAAAGAGTAAAAATCAATAGAGTGGAGATAATTCTCTACAATACTGAGATATTATTTTATATTGTGCATCAAATAATTTGGGTTTTTTTGTGAGTCCCTAATATGTTAGGCCCCTCTAGCTGTCATTTACAGATCTAAAGTTTCAACATTGATAAAAGAAGACTTAAAAATGGAAACTAATGTTGATTGGGACTTTTTTTTTCTATTTACTTTTGAGTTCCTAATATATTAAGCCCCTCGGCTACCATCTAATACTTACTACCTGTGTAATAAAGTAGCAGGTATCAGTTGAATATGAAGTTGTATTCAACTTTTTGTGTAGTATTGAAAAATATTTTTAAAAGGTATGAACAAAAAATGATATGTTTTATATTGTTAATATAGTAGGACTGCAGTGACGGGACCCGGTTTTCAGAGGTATTATGGTGTTAGATGCCACATAGGTGTGTGTCTTGGAATATCCAAGGGTTGAACTCACCCCAAAAACGCGGTGCACTGTGTACATTTTTAAAAGATAATAGGTTGGATGTAGCATTTATCCAGGAAACCCATTGGATAATTTCCCCCTCCAAATCATGGCATTTCAATAACTTTCCAATTGTTTATTCTGCTAATATCGAGGGAAATCGTAAAAAAAGGGGAGTAGCTTTTAAGGTAAAAAAACTTTAAATTTGAAAATATTCATCCTGAAAGTGATCCAGGTAGATTTTTACTTATAATTGCTAAAATAAATGATACGCTATTTACACTGGTCAATATTTATGCTCCTAATGACTTCTCATTGGGATTCCTGGATGAATGCATCTCTAAGATAGATAAGCTTAAAGGGAAACTCCAATGCCAGGAAAACAAACTCTTTTTCTGGCACTGCAAGTACCCTCTCCCTCCCACCACCCATCCCATGTTGCTGAAGGGGTGAAAACCCCTTCAGTGACTTACCTGAGACCCCCACCGATGTCCCTCGGCGGTGGTTTCGGGTCCGCCCACGCTCCGATCGTGCATGTGCGGCCGCCGGCGGGGGAGATCTACTGCACATGCGCTGCAATGCCATGCGCGCACATTAGACTTCTCCATAGGAAATAATTGAAAATGTTTTCCTATGGGGAATTGAGCGACGCTGGAGATCCTCACACAGCGTGAGGACATCCAGCGACGCTCTAGCACAGAACACCTGTGCTAGATACCAGAAAGTGCCCTCTAGTGGCTGTCTAGTAGCACAGAGGAGGGTACATAACACCATTGGACATCTGTCATCTGCATGCAGTGTTTGCTGGCGACAGATGTTTTCATGCGCATATTAGCCGGGACAGGTCTCCCATTCAATGCTGCTTAAAGGTTACTCCAAATACCATGGCTTCAGTTGAAGTGGTCATGGTGCCTGGAGTCTATATGTGTAACATTTCGCTAAGAAGCACTGCACATACCAAGTTTAACCCCTCTGCTGCTGGAGGTGTAACGCCACCTCAGGCAGGATCATAGGGGTGTCATCAGCCAGCACATAACTGGAGTTCTGGGCTGGTCTATGTCAATTCTGCACTGCCTTCTGCACTGAGTGGTCAGCTGGTGTTCTCAATGGATGTCAACTGTCATGGCTTTCAGCTTCTATTGTTAAACGGTTTGGCTCATTACCGGAGAACTGGGACAGAGTACTTCTCAAACCATAACCTGTAAAGGTTATAATGCTTGGCGTAAACCTTTAAAGAATTTGTCATAGGTGAACTTACACTTCCAGGAGCAACAGTAAATATCACTGTATATGCAGCGTATATTCTTTGGACGTATAGGCTTTGTGCACCATGACCACTTCAAAACACTGAAGGAAGTGATGATGGTGCTTGGACTAACCCTTAGTAGTTTGATATTCAATAGACCAAATACTTGTAGGGACCAATGGAATAGAAATTATAGCCCACTCAGTAATTCATAAATGTTTCCCTAAATCTTACTATTTATTACAGTCCAACGCGTTTACTCTTGGACGCAAAAAATCTAGTAGACAGCCACTAGAGGAGGAGTTAACCCTGCAATGTAATTATTGCAGTTTATGAAAACTGCAATATTTACAGCTGCAGGGTTAAGGGTAATGGGAGTTGGCACCCAGACCACTCCAATGGCAGAAGTGGTCTGGGTGCCTGGAGTGTCTCTTTAAATGTGGCAACCTTATTATTGGAGGTGACTTTAATTGTGTCCTTAATTTAAAATTAGATAAAAGTAACAATAACAAAAATGATTGAGATCCAAAAATGAAAATAGCTGTTAAAAATTTTAACGAATTCTTGATTAAAAATATACTCTATGACTGCTGGAGAACTCAACCTGAGGGACTATACACACTTTTCTCATGTCCAATAGACCTATTCCCGAATTGATTTTATTCTTTCAAGGCCTGACCTTTTGGACCAAATTATCAATTTTAAGATTGTCCCAATTATCCTATCTGTGTCACGGGTGGCGGCAGGGCCAGATTAAGAGCCCAGTGGGCCTGGTGCTGACAATTATGACGGGCCTAATTACAGAATCATATCAACCAAAAACAGTAAAACACTCCCAAGCATCATGTATCTGATGGAGATGGTGCTGGAGAGAAAGAAAACAGCAGCTATAAGAAAACACACACCCTATGCTAATCTCTCTCTAATTTATGTTTTCAGCTTTCAAGTAAATCCATAACCCCTAACAGCAACGTCCAATCAAGCAGGAAGTCAATGGGCACGGTAAAAGGACTGTCCCCTAGCACTCGCTGGTCCACTTGTCTCCTTACCTTCTTACTAGCAGGCAGAAGCTCCTGGTATATGGTCTGGGACAGAGAAAAGCTGTATGTAGTGAGTGTAGAAGAAAGGGAACATGCCACAGTGTTAGAGAGACCAAAGTCAGCATTACCTTAAAGGATCACTATAGGGTCAGGAACACAAACATGAATTCATGACCCTATAGTATTAACACCACCATCTAGCCCCCCCTGGACCCCTCATGCCTCCATAAATATAGCAAAATCTATATTCAAGCCTGAAGCTGTAACTCTGCATGCTGTTAGACTCCTAAAAACAAGCAGTCTGCTGACATCATTAGAAGTGGTGGCCTGATCCAATCACAGTGCTTCCCCATATGATTGGCTGAGACTGACAAAGAGGCAGATCAGGGTCAGAGCCAGTATGATTCAAACACAGCCCTGGCCAATCAGCATCTCCTTATATAGATGAATTTCATTAATGAATCTCTATGAGGAAAGTTCAGTGTCTGCATGCAGAGGGAGGAGACACTGAATGTTTGGATGCATTTTAGGCAGCCATGACCCAGGAAGGATCTCTAACAGTCATCTAAGGAGTGGCCAGTGAAGTTATCACTAGGATGTAATGTAAAGACTGCATTTTCTCTGAAAAGACAGTGTTTACAGCAAAAAGCCTGACGGTAATGATTCTACTCACCAGAACAAATTCAATAAGCTTGTTCTGGTGACTATAGTGTCCCTTTAACTATATTCATTGTCAGCCAGTCCACACAAGTTTTGTTCCCATACATCCCACTTAAGTTTCCATACTTAAGTAAGAGTATGTGAAAAGTAGTTAGGGTTGCCACCTTTCTTGGAAAAACATATCGGCCTTACTAATTTGCATAATTAAATATGTATGGGTGACATCACATGATGTAAATCACAAGGAGTGACATAAGAGAAAATGCTGTAAAATCACCAAAAACCTACTTAGTTTGATTCTGCTGTATAGATGGATTCCTCCCAGTGCCCCCATGTCTCCCAGTGCCCTCATGACTCAGTGCCCCCATGTGTCGATTACTCCAGGTCTCAGTGTTCCTATGTATCAGTGTCTCAGTGACCCATGTCTCCCAGTGTCCCGTAGTGTTGTGTCCCCAGGTCTCCCAGTGATCCTATGTATCACAGTGTCTCAATGCCCCATGTCTCCCTGTGTCCCCATGTATCCCAGGGTCCCCATGTCACTATGACTCTAGGAAGACGGGGAGACCTGGGGACATGGGGAGACCTAGGGACACGGAGACACCAGTGACACTGGGAGACTAGGGGACTCTGGCTGGGACACATGGGGACAATGGGAAAATAGGGGACACTTGAAGACATGGGGATACAGACACTAGAGACACTGGCTGGGGGACATGGGGACATTGAGACATGGGGCACTGGGAGACATGGGGACACAGAGACACCAGGGCCACAGACACTAGGGACACTAGCTTGGAGACATGGGGACATTGTGACACTTGAGGCAATGAGAGACATGGAGGCACTAGAAGACATGGGGACAGTGAGACACTGGCAGACTGGGGTCACTGGGAGACTAGGGGGCACTGAGACACCAGGGACACTGGCTGGGAGACATGGGGACACTGTGTCCCCATGTGTCTGTGTCATAGTATCTCCCAATGTCCCTTAGTGTCTCAGTGTCTGCCATAATGTCTCCACGTGTCCCTTAGTGCCTCAGTATCTGCCATAATGTCTCCCAGTGCCCCTTAGTGTCTCAGTGTCTGCCATAATGTCTCACAGTGTCCCTTAGTGTCTGCCATAATGTCTCCCAGTGTCCCTTAGTGTCTCAGTGTCTGCCATAATGTCTCCCATTGTCCCTTAATGTCTCAGTGTCTGCCATAATGTCTCCCAGTGTCCCTTAGTGTCTCAGTATATGTATCCTTGCAGCCTGTCCCCCCATCCCTCACTTCCCTGAGCTGTAGGCTGTCTCTGCAGGGTGGGAGTTGCTGTCTGGACTCTCTGTAGCTGCACCCCTGCAGAGCAGTGAGTATAGATAGGCAGGGAGGGATATGCTGGAACTTCCTATCCCTGCCTGTCTCCACACACAGTGACCCCTACTGGCCAGTGCTGGTATTGCATAGTAATCTCTTGTTTATACTGATAAAAATACCAGCATTTGTATTGCCAGTATAACTGCAATATTGGCACCGCCAGGCAGCCCTAAATACTGGCTGTGCCAATAAAATAAAAGCCAGGTGGAATCCCTAAGAGTAGTGTGTGAAAAAAAAAAAATATTTTTTTTTTTTTTAAATCAATGGGCCTATTCCATGGGCCTGGGCCTGGAGCTGCAGCTCCATCAGCCCCTATGTTAATCAGGCCCTGGGTGGCGGACTGGAGACCGGGACCCCTGTATGCCTGATGAGGGTAGGAGTCACAGTGTGGAAGGACAATCAGGGTCTGGCGCAGGGTAACCACACACCCCCTGGAGTTGAGCACCAAGGGCCCTGAAGCAACTACTGCAGATCCCAGGAGCTTTATAATATGCAAATATGTATCCAGTACTAGAAACAAGGCAAGACTAGAACAGGCGAGAACTGTACATGACCTGGGAATACAAGACAAAATAAAACAAGACAAGAGATACAAGGCAAAACAAGAGGAGAAATAACTAAGTACTATATATATAATAAACATTGGAGATTTAGACATACATAAATGGCCAAGATGTATGCAGCCCACCACTGCGCCAAAGTACTCCAATTACGGTGGGTCCTAACTGCCTTGATATGCATGACTAAAAGTACAATAATAAAACACACACAGTACTTACCTGCAAGGAAAGGAGCAGAGGAATAAGACCACTGCTAGCAGGGAACACTGAAACAAAAGGATAAATGGCAAAGGAATGGGTGTGGCAACAAAAAAAAAACATTTAAAGGAATCCAGGAGACTGGGAATTCCAGGAACAGAATAAAGGAATGAACCCGGAAAACCCAACATAAAGAAAACCAGATCTAGAATAGATAACCAAAAAACCAAGAAAAATGAAACAAGAATTGTAAAAAGAGTTCTGGATACCATAAGCCATGGCCAAAAATGATCCGCATCCAGGAACAAGATGTGACAATCTGACCATACGCCAGTTTTTTGGCTTATTAAATTCCCTTCTACTTTTAAAACTAGAACTAGATGGAGATTTAATGAAAGTCTTCTGTTAATTGACAATGTAAATACAGAGCTGGCCTCACAATTAGATTAATGTATCAATATCAATGATAATGGGGAACTATCTATGTCTACAGTATGGTGTGCATTCGAAAGTTTTGCAAGGGGACTTTTAATAAAAGTGGGTTCAAGATATAAGAAAAACAATGAAGAACTAATCTCTAAATTATATATTGAGTTGGCAAAAATGGAAAAGCTAAACAAGGAACAAATAACTCAGGATACCACTAACAAAATCTTAAGTTTGAAACAAGTTATTAATAAAAAGAACTTTGAAGATGTGAATAAATCTATTTTATTTCTTAAACAAAAATGGTACCACAATAATAATAAAGCTAGTATAATTCTATTTCAAACAAATTAAAAAATCTTTCAAAGGATAAAGCAATAAAAAAAAATAGGAGATAAGAGTTTATTAAATCCAAAAGATATTTCTCAGGCCTTTGTAGACTACTACACCTCCCTATATAATCTACCAAAGCCCACGGTTTTCAATTATGAGATTGACAAAACTACTGGATAAATTGGATATTCCCAAGATATCTTTAGAAAAACTGGGAGAGTTGAATGCACCTATCAATATGGTAGAAATAATAAATTCAATAAAAAAATCTTAAAATCTAACAAAGCCTCAGGCCCAAGTGGCTTTTCAGCTGTGTTTTATAAAAAAATATTCTGATATTTTGGCCCCGATTTTACTGAAAACCTACTTGGAGATTTCTATTACAAAACCATTTCCCAAAGAGATGTTGACAGTATCTATTATCCCGATTCTTAAATCGGGAAAGGACACTTCAAAAACAATAAACTACAGACCAATATCTTTAATAAATCTTGATATAAAAACTGATTCTCATATTCTTGCAAATAGATTAAAGTAAGTTATCCTGGATATCATTTCTGTGGATCACTCAGGCTTCATCAGGGATAGAGGTATAATGGATAATATCCGAATAATAATTAATTTAATAATCAAAGGTAATCTTGTGAACTCAGAAACGGTTATTCTAGTTATTGATGTTGAAAAAGCTTTCTAAAGGATTAACGGGAGATTCCTAGATAGTCTTAGCAAAATTTGGTTTTCAGGGCCCCTTTTAGGATAAAATAATGTCATTATATGCAGTACCAAGTGCAAAACTTATTAATCCTTTCTTTGAATCAGCTTCATTTTGAATTAATAATGGTACAAAGCAAAGGTGTCCACTGGCCCCACTACTATACATTTTATCTATAGAACCATTAGCCAATGATTAGGAAAAATAAAAACAATCTTTGGGATACAATCAACTGATTGAGAGTATAAAATATCTTTATTTGCTGATGATGTGCTCTTGTATCTGTTGAAGCCTTCAATTTCAATCCCTGAGATTTTGAAAGATATTGAAAGGTATGGAAACGTCTATAACTATAAAATAATCTTAAAAAACCTAAAATCTTAATGTCAAGCATAAATGAGGCCAATCTGTCTTCTCCTAAATCTAATTTTCATTTTGACTGGAGTTGTGAATATATTGAGTATCTAGGTATTAAATTATCTTTCAATATCCCAAACTTAAATTATCCGAATTAAGAAGATTTATATAGTTCTGTTAAAACTCAATTGAATATCTGGAGTAAAACTGAAATTTCTTGGCTGAATACAGTTAGTGCTTATTCTATACCAAAATTGTTATATCTATTTAGATCTCTACCATTTAAATTAAGCAATAAGTGGATTTTACAATATCAAATACTATTTACTAATTTTATATGGGCAAATAAGAGACCTAGAATATCCCAAAAGATTCTTCAAAATAAATATGATAATGGCAGTATATCATTTTCAGATATTGCTAAGTTACATATAGCTTGTTTAGTTACAAATGCAATATTATGGACCAATCCTAATATTCAAAATAATGCTTAGTTTCAGATAGAACAAGCAAACTGTTCGCTAGGTAATTTAAATACAATATTTTGGACAGATGAGCTAAACCAAATAAATCTAAAAAATGTATCAAATCAATTGATTGCAGATATGCTTGACACCCTAAAAATGTTAAATTGCCAGTTAATGCTTTCGGATTCAATTCTTACACATGCCCCCATTGAAATACTTCAATATAATATGAAAGATATAGAAGTGTATAATTGGAGGCAATTGGGGATAAATAGAATTGCCAATATATTTGAAAACAAATCATTGCTTTGCTTTACAAGTCTACAAAATAAATATAAAATATCCTTTAGAGATACCTTTCATTATTTAAGAATTAAGAACTATCTGATTACAAAAAAAAAATATTTATGAGCATTCTATTAACGAATACTTAGATTGGGATCTAAGAGACTAATAACCAGAACTCTCGTTGTTGGAAGGGGAGTCTGATGCCCAAAAACTCCCTTCCATCCTAAAATGGGAAATTAATCTCAATATATCTTACACCCTGTATGTATGGATCGGATTTAATTCTGGACAATATAGCTTTTACACCTTCACTTTTCCTATTTAATCTAAATTTTCCCCTAATGAATAAAAAATATAAATACCTAATCACCCATATTCTCTTTGCTCTCAAGTTAACCATAACCCCCAATTGTAAATCTAGCCAACCTCCAATATGGCAGGAAATAATAAACCAAACAGATTATCAATATTCAATGGAGAGCAATTTTCTAGCTCTATTTGGCCAATATAACTCATATCAAGAATTATGGAAAGCTTTGCTCCTATACAGGAACAAAAGATAATTTACCCTAAAATAAAAGAAGTAAAAAGACAGGTGAAGGGAAAGGAAAAGGAACAGTGAAAAGGCATAAAAAGGAGAGAAAACATTAAGAAAAGAAAAATGGAGAAAATGGAGAAAGAAAAAGATATAATGGTAAAAACCTTGGAGAGTTATGACTAGACATCTATTATCGGACCCTGGACACTGCAGTCCTCATTTTATGTTTGTGTTTTTTTTTGTATATTTGTCTGTTCATTTGCCTCAAACAATGAAAATAATGTGAGGATGTGTCTATACACGCCATATATGTATTTATTACAACAATTTATTAATTCATGTATACAATGCATCACATAATTGTTGGAAATGGCTTTTGTAAATGGAATTAAAAAAGAAGGAATAAAAAAAAAAGCTAAACAAAGCAAGGTGATACGTGTTAATTTACATTAAAATTAAGAAAATTATAGATGTTGCATAGAAAGTATCCCATCAATTAAATTGAGTAAATAATGCATTAACAGAACAAATCCAGAAATGAAGCATTATTTAATTTCTAGAGATTATCAGGAAAGAAACAAGCATTATATAACCTTAAAGGGGAGATAAAACATATCTGGAAATTGCAGCATTGAATAGCACATTGAATATATCTAAATAGTTATATGGGTTGAAAAAGACTTGCGTCCATCAAGTTCAGCCTTTCTCACATATGTTTTTGCTGTTGATCCTAAAGAAGGTTTGAAGTATTTTTCAATTTTGAACCAAACTAGCAAAAATGTATTCTTGACCCCAGAATGGTAGTTAAATCTCTCCTCAGATAAAGAAACTGCTACCCCACGTATTAAAAAATATACCTCTGCTTATTATGTTTTACAAGAATCTATCCAGTTGCTGTATAAAGATCTGTACAGGCTCTGATATAACCACCCCTCCAGGCAGATAATTCCACATCCTTATTGTTATTCGTGTAGAGAACCATTTACTTTGCCATAGACAAAATCTATTTTCTTCCAGTCTAAATGGGTGACTTCTTGTCCTATGGATAGTCCTGATTATGAATAGATTTCCAGACAA